TAATTAATGGTCCCATAACTACAGTTCCCTGAAATTTTCCCCTATCAGATCTATCAGTGAACATGGAGAGTCACCATGTTCCCTCTCATAAACTTAGATCATAAGCATCTCCATTTTGTTTTTTTTGTGGACACTTAATCTTTATAGCGTAATATTCATGTTCCTTACTGTAATATTCTGGTTGGTGGTATACCTACCCCTTCTGAAAAATATGAGTTCGACAGTTGGGATCATGAAATTCCCAACTGAATGGAAAGTCATATAATTCATGTTCCAGTCACCACCAGCCAGCCAGTATATCCATGGTCATATCCACTGAATACTTTCATACTCTTGGTCACATGATTCTGAACCAACTTTATAGCATGATATTCATGTTCTTTAAGATTTATAATATATATATATATTATGTGTATCACTATCTAATATATATATATATAACCAACTTGATATGTTCATGGGTATGTTCATGGGATAAACTTTGAGGCTTCCCAAAGTTCAGCGCAACCCCGAGTTCATCAGATATCTTCAGATCATCCCAATGAGTTCTTGACGGATTTTTTTTGGCGCCATTTTTCAGATCTCCAGCTGGTGATTTTTTGGGAGGTGAAATACTAGCTGGTGACTCTAAGGGATTATGATTAAACCCATCATGAAAATAATAGTGATGTTCCATTAACCAACCACTATAGTGGTATAATCAAGAACAAACCAGTAAATGGTATTACTAGTAACCAACAATAGAGATCACTATGAACCAACCATAATGGAAACAAAAAGATCGGCGGGTTCTTTCATGGCCCAACTATATCATCTCCCTACTTGGTGGTTCATCCCAGTAAGTGGGTTAGTTCACCCCAGTTATACCTGGAGGAACCCTACTTACCCTCTGGTTATTTAACATAGCCATGGTATAGATGGCCCATAGAAATAGATGATTTACCTATTAAAAATGGTGGATCTTTCCATGGCTAACTGTTAGTCATAACCAGATGGTATCTGAATTCACCAGGCTTACCCACTTACTTTCTTCGTGGGACGCTTCCCCTGCGCCAAGCTTCAGGAGTCCTTTCTCCTGTGCCATCTCCAACCGCCTTGGAATGGCACAGACGACATCGGGATGGCCCTGCTTCTTGTAGACCAAGCAGTTCTCGCAGCAAACCTCGCGTCGCAAAGTTCTGCTGGGCTTATATTTTTTTGGGAGTGGTTTAGTGATGGGAACCATGATGATGGTCATGGTTTTATGAAACAGCCACATAACTATGGAAAGATCCACCATGCTATTAATGGGTAAATCAACTATGTCTATGGCCATGTTCAATAGCTATGTCTGTTTACCAGAGGGTATATTCCATTCATATCCCATTGAATCACTATAAAATCCCATTAAACCACTATAAATCCCATTATATAAATTCACTCGATCTGAAATAAGGCTTCTTCGTGAGTTATGCCATATGATCCATACGAACTAACCATCGTTCCAGTGGCCGTCAGCGACGTGAGGAAATGATGCTATCCAGATATTTTCCAGAATATCACTACGATCGTCAAATATCGTGAAATATTCCACCTGAAGTCATATATATATATAGTATCCCATGAATGACTGATATATCCAGCTATATGGAGGTTTCCCAAGTCATGGGGGTACCCCGTATCCAGGACCCGTTGATCGCCGCCAGGACCCGTCCGGACCCGTTGATTGCAGCACTTGGAGTCCGACCAAGACCCCACTGGGACCGTCCACACCACCAGGCACTGCAATGAGAGCATGTGCACCTGACGGAGACGTTACCATGGCCAGCGAAACGGAGACTATGAGACGAAAATACCCTGAGATTATGTACATATTGTCATATTGTAATGTATTATATGTATTATACATATCATGAATTATACTATATATATATAAAGTTCATATTTAGCCTATATTCCTCATCTATAGCAAAATCTAAGTGTTCCTGTTTAAAAAAATCGCCATCCATGGCTCAACTGTCGCCATGGCCATCCCTTTCTATGGGGGTACCCGAAAAATGGATGGTTTATTTCATGGACAATCCGACAATAAAATTGATGATTTAAGGTACCCCCATGACTTATAGGAAACCTCAAAAACTAACTATTATTTGAAGGTTTCCTGGTATGCTGTTGAATCTTTCCTGAACACTTGTGCTGAAGCTCTTGCAAATGTGCCAAGCTATGAAATATGCAGCCTCAACCAGCTATATGTTCGTCATCATTCTCCCTATCCGAATGTAAAATGAGGTGGTCAACCATCAGCCCAAATTTGGAAATTGTTAAACATCAACTTCTCCAAAATTTGGAAGGTTATAAACTCATATAAAATCATCGAAAACCCACATTTGAATATAGTTTTTAACACATTTTATCATTCTCCAAACATCCAAACCCAGGCGCTATGATCCACAGCATCAGCGAACTTTCGGGTGACATGGTTCAGACCCAGGTCCATCTCATACAACGTCAGCATCTTTTGGGGCGGCTCGGCGTGCGGATCCTTGTCCACCTGGGGATTCTGCTGATTCCGTGGATGGCTGGGAACGCCCTGGAAATGACACATATTTTTTATAAAAAAAAAGTTATCAACCTAGAACAGTTCTAGGGGATAGTTGTTTGAAGAATAGTTATCCCATTTTGCTGTTATATGTTTATATGTTATTATATGTTTATATGTTTAATCAGGTGGATAGCTCCAAACAAAATATAGAACATATATTTCAAGAAAAATTCGGAGATGTCCCGAAATTGGGAGATGTTCGTAGGGATTGAATCTATGATATCTATGTAGTTTTTTTCTGAAAATGGTGTACCCCATGCCAGCGAATTAACATTTTCCCATATTTTCCCTATGATTCACGGCTAAACTCAGTGGTTAATCATCATTTTCCCTTATGAAATGATACTACATGGAGTTGATCATCATCAAACGGCTATAATCACTGGAGATACCCTCTGGTGATGTCAAAATAGCTATTGAACATCGCCCATGTGTAGTTGATTTTGCTATTAACATGGTGGATTTTTCCATAGTTATGTGGCTGTTTACCAAAGGGTAAACCTCCATTTTCCTATGGGTTTTCCTATGTTTTCCCATTTTCCCATAGGTTTTATGGGATAGTGCCCCCATTGGAGGTGCTTCACCATTTCCATTTCCAACCACCGCCTCCTCGTAGCTCAATTCGATGCTGGCGAACAATGGATTCTCAAAGCCCACATCCATGCCCACCATGGCATAGACTAAGGTGTAACCTCAGTGGGAATGGGTGAACTTCAAGTTGGGGGCAGGCAGATGTGGGTTTTTATTTTCTGTATGTTCGAGAGGTTGAAATGACATGTGCTGAATATCCATGTTTTGTTGTCCAAATTGTTTTTCTGGTACAATTCCCCAAGGCTAGTGGACTTGGAGATTGCAAGATCTCGTTGGTGCGTGCGAATGGACCCGCAAATGGCTGGATCATTTTTCCTCGGTCTTAAATATCGATGTCCTTATCCCACCGGTTGATGAGTTAATAGAAGCTTCCCCCCAGTCAACAACTTTGTTTGGTAGATGATGGATGATAATAGATAGTATTTATATGTATTTATCCTTAAATGGATAGATTTACTTGTGGATTTGGAATACATTTCCCTGATATTCCCTGATGATAGAAGATAGGAATACCAAACCGGTCCCCGTATTGATCTGCACACTGGGCTTGTCGCAGCATTTTTTTGACGCTGTGCAACAGAAATCTTTGGAAGGCAAGCTTTCATGATGGGACAAGCGAATATCACTTGGTGGTGTATGTGTATGTGTACTGTGTATACATATATAATTTAGCTACGGCCTATAGGCCTCTGTTAGTCTGGCCCCTCAAAACGAAGGCAACAGGCACTGGCAATGAGTCGACGGCAGGACAACCAAATGACGACAGCAATGTATCGGCACGCCAACGGCAAGGCAATTAAAGGGCGACGGCATGGCAACGGCATGGCCACAGCATGGCGACGACATTGCGACGACATGGCGACGACATGGCGACGACATTGCGACGACATGGCGATGACGTAATGACAACATGGCGGCGGTGCGGCGACGACGACGACGCCAATGGCGGCGAAGCAACGGCGAAGCAACGGCGATAACAACAACAAGGGGCAACCTGCCTGCCCCATCATGCTCAATCACTGTTAGCCCTCCATCTTGGCAGAGTGTGATGCTATCTTTGGGTGTGTGTGCGTGTGTGTTTGTTAACGTGTTTTCTCTGCATGATGACTAGTATATATAATATACTATATATATATATACGTTGTTTGCTTTTGTGGGTCCTGGAGTATTGATTATTTTGTATTGGGCTTTTGGCTTGCATGCTTTGCACTTTACAACTGGGTTTTGCACACTTTGCATATGTTGTTGCATCCCTGACATGCAGACAACGATTGTTTTTACTAATGCATGTCAGCAGACAATGTCTATACAAGTCAGATACTCTCAAGTCAGACATGCTTGAGTGCACGGAACAGCCTTTAACGCCAAAGGTTGGCGAAATTGAATGCAAAGAAAGGTGTGCACAAACTTCTGCACGTTCACCGCCAAACTGCCCTTGGGTTTGCTTGAGCTATGCGCCAGCTGAATTTCAAGTAAGTTATACGCTATATAGGTTTTTGTGACACGTTAGATCCCTTCTAAACGCATTCAGTTTGGAACAGGTTCTTACCCATTGACACCTTGTCTTCATCGAATTTGTGAGGACATAGTACCTAGGCTTGCATACTGACAATGGGCAGCTACAACAAACAACCTGAATCTGTTCTGTCCCGCTCTAATCCTACATGATATGTTTTTTCGATCACCATTTTTTACATAAAATGCATGGACTTGACAACATGATCCACATGTATATCATTGTATATCAATTCCAGTTTTTGCACGTGTCAATCACAGGTCCTGTATCTCCTTTATCTTCACCTCCCCTTTGCAAACACGCACATTGTGAAATACCATGGGCCCAGCATGCATGGCACCCTGGCGATTTTTGAAACCTGCGCAGCAATCTAGATGCTATCAATGTCATATCAGCGATGTTCAAAACCCGCTGTTGGTGATTGATTTTGCTCAACAAACCAGTATATTGCAATCAGATGGATCTTGAACACTGCTGATATGAATCGTCTACGTGAACCGATGTTTGGCACACTGAGTGGTGAACAATGGTTAGATTCTTACCAGGATGTCTGGCACAGTGTTTTCGATACAGCTTCGGTGCATTAGCACCCTGTTAACTCATTTGGGCCAAGAGCCGGGTGTAAGGAATCATCGCCAGCCCGTGAATCACAGGCAAGTACTTGCAATAAAGAGAGATCAGCTTAGTCACGTTCTTCATGTGCCCCAAAACGATTTCGCTTTCTGCACATTTTGCAAAACAGGTGACGGGTTGGGAGCACCAATCAACAAAATGATAGGTTTATATACATGTTATTTTGCCTAAGAAGAGTACCACGGCCAAGGTCACCAAACGGGCGCGCTATTGAATATGGTTGGGATTTTGCTTCAAAATGAGTATTGCGCTGTTCTACTCAGATATTCTTCCCCAAGCCCAGCTCTAATTATGAAAATCTACTCCGGTAATAACCGTATTTTTTGTATAGGCACCGCATGCTGACCCATGACACGGTGATATTTCATAGGTGAAGCTTGGGCAGAGGTGCTACGTCAAGAACTCTCAAGCCAGACATGCTCAAATACACGGTCGAGCCTTTCACACCAGAGGTTGATGAACTTGAATGCAAAAGCTTGCAAGGACCCCATCGTTTTTGCATTCTCCTTGCGTTCAATTTGTTTGAACTCTGCGCTTGCTAGGTATCAATGATATCAATGTCAAACACTACAACTTTGCACGCTAGATGCATGGTCGCAGGTTGAACCTGGAAAGGTTTCTAGGAAGTCATGTAAATATACAACATGTAGTCCCAGTTTCATCTTGAAAATTTGGGCATATAGCATCTACATCGTCAACAGCGCAGGTTATGTAATGTAGTACTGCATTCAAAAGGAATCTGGTTCACCCATTGTTTTCTGAAAAAAAGGGCTCACATGCTGATAATGCGTCATACCCTGTGCAAGCACATGTCCAACGTGTTTCTTCATCTAAAACCAGTTCACACACACAGATCTCGCGAAATACAATGGACGTAATGCGCAGGAATTGCCAAAATCAAGCGAGCAAGTGGTTGAAATATTTGATACAACCGGCGATAATTGTGAAGGAAAAAAGCAATCAACTTTTCTTTCTTTGAATAAGTGTAGCGTAGATTCTCCTCCTCTAGATGCAAATTGGAACCGAAAATCCAAACGTACAGCGGGACTGGGGAAGAACCCCGCGGAGCGGCTTCCTACAAAGGAGGGACGCATAGGAAGGGGTTTCAAAAGCCAAATAAACAGGAAACATGTTTTTCCGCACCCCTAGCTCCAGACAAGAGGGGTTCATCTCCGGACAGGGCGGGGGATCAAAAAGAGAATAAACCATTTGTTCCCTGCATGGTCCGGCGAATTCATCCCCCCTGCCTGGAGACGGAATATATTGATGCACAGAAACATCAAAGAACCCCGAATTGAGATTCACTACGTTTGTCCAAGTTGTGACTTTAGCAACATGAGAGTTCATGCGCTATCAAAAACAAACACTGTTGTTTCAAGCCCATTGATCGAACACAATTCAAGTTGAGTGCTGCCAGCACCGGAAACAAACACCCATTTAACGTCACATCTCTTTTCCTTTTTTGAGCACATACACAGTGCCGATTAGCATCTTCCCAAGGTCACACGCGCTTGGTTCTTGAAACGAATCAAGGCCCATTCGATGACTGCATTGGAAGGCCATAGCGGTCATTTCAAATCACATCAATCATATAGGGCAGCTGCATGACGACGACCTTGCAACAACACGGCAAGCAGTGCGGTGTCATCATCAAAAAAACGTGTTTTTATTTGCCTGTGCGTCGGCACGATTTTGGGTCTTTGGTGGAAGGTGACACTCTGTGAGCAGGGGTTGCGTTTTGCTTGCAAATGCGATGATCCATGGATTTCGTGTCGCCGTGTTACTTTTTTGGTTTCTGCGACATGATGATAGGACCAGGAAGAGATTTCAAATTGAAGGATATTTCCATCGTCATGTCCTTGTCCCTTCATTGTCAAAATTGTAAAAAATGTCGTCGTTGTGTGGTCGTCACATTGCCACCACATTGCCACCACATCGCCGCCACATCGCCGCCACATCGCCGCTGCATCGCCGCCACATCGCCGCCACATCGCCGCCACATCGCCGCCACATCGCCGCCACATTGCCGCCACATTGCCGCCACATCGCCGCCACATTGCCGCCACATTGCCGCCACATTGCCGCCACATCGCCGCCACCTCGCCGCCACAGCTGCCACAGGACCTTATTTCTGCCAATAAGGTCCTGTTTGGCCAAAACAAGACCTTATTGGCAGAAATAAGGTCCTGTGGCAGCTGTGGCGGCGACGTTCTTCTCAGTCCACGTTCGTACTTCGCGTTATTTTTGCGCGGGGCGGCAATTGGCGGCAATGTTGCGGCAAAAGTGGCGGCAATGTGCGGCAATTGGCGGGGCAATGTGCGGCCATCATTGCGCCACATCGCGCCACCATCGCGCCACATCGCCGCGCATTGCCGCCACATTGCCGCCAAGTTGCCGCCACATTGCCGCCACATTGCCGCCACGTTGCCGCCACATTGCCGCCACATTGCCGCCACATTGCCGCCACATCGCCGCCACAGCTGCCACAGGACCTTATTTCTGCCAATAAGGTCCTGTTTGGCCAAAACAAGAGCTTATTGGCAGAAATAAGGTCCTGTGGCAGCTGTGGCGGCGAGGTGGCGGCAATGTGGCGGCAATGTGGCGGCAATGTGGCGGCAACGTGGCGGCAATGTGGCGGCAATGTGGCGGCGATGTGCGCCACCCCCCCATTGCCGCCACCTCGCAGCCCAGCTGCCCAGGACCTTATTTCTGCAATAAGGTTTGTTTGGCCAAAACAGGACCTTATTGCAGAAATAAGGGTCCTGTGGCAGCTGTGGCGCGATGAGGCGCAATGTGGCGGCAAATGTGGCGGCAAGTTGGGGCAATGTGCTGGCAATTTGTGGCGGCGATTGTGGCGGCAATCGCGGCGGCGAGGTGGGTGGCGTGTTGGGGCGGCGACGGATATGTGGCGGGAATGCGGAGGAGATGTGGCGGCGATGTTGGTGGCAGATG